TGCTGTTGGTTGACTTGGTTGTTTCATTCTCCATTACTATTATAGTAATCCTTGACTTACAGATCATTCATTTAGTGACCTTTGAAGTTACAACAGCACTGCAAAAAAGGGACTTATGACAGTTTTACACACAACCGTGTTGCAGCATCCCCATAATCATGGAATCGAAATTCAGATGCTTGGCAACTGGCATGTACTTATGACGGTTGCAGTGTCCCAGGGTCATGTGATCACCTTTTTTTGCAACCTTCTGACAAGCAAAGTCAATGGGGAAGCCAGATTCACTTAACAACCATGTTACTAACTTAACAACTGCCGTGATTCACTCAACAACTGTGGCAACAGAAATTTTGGGCTCAATTGTGGTTTTAAGTCGAGGACTACCTGTGTGTTATTACAAATGTATTACTGTCTACATATGTCAGTAGAGAAAGTTAAGATGAAAAAAATGAAGTATCGCTAAAAATGGTTCTATTAAAAAAATGACTCTGGCACAGCTTATAATTACAGTCAGACATTTATTGCCTCAGAGACTGAACTCCTGATACAGATGCTTAACATCCTCAAGCATTTTTTATTTTAAAGACACATACATGTACATACATTGCAGGGGTTCAAGCAACAATTCCTTCTTGGAAATACAGTCCTTAGGAAAAGAGACTAGAGGCCATTTGCACATTCTTTTAACGAGTATTTGCAGGGGCAAAGCACAGACTTGCAGCTGAGTGGCGCTTTTCCCTTGCTGATATAGCACAGGTAGGTTAGTTGTTGACTTTTCCCAACTATTAAAACCAAAGTTGGAAGGTTGGGGGCGTTTGCACCGTGCAGGTTCTGTCTTGAGTTTACACTGAACGGGTGGTGCGTGTCCTTCAGCTGTGCCAACAGTGTCTCATTTGAGAAAAATGTCTGGAGAAACTAAAAGAACAAGCAGAGAAAGAAAACCAAGTCCTATGCATTACAAATGTGCAAGGATTCAGAGCCAATCCTCTCAAGCCAAGGACCATGGGAACTGTATTTCAAATTGCACTGCATCGCTACAAACCAGAGTTCCCAAGATTGAAGGGAGGAACTGCAAGAACAAAATTAGTTAAACTGTGTCAGGTCAATGATTCATTTCTCTAACATCAGGCTTTGAAATCGAGGATGTGCATGAACCATCAGCACAAAGGTTTGTCGTTTCTAATGGCCACAATAGCAGCGGGGTAAGCAGGTCCTATTCACAGGGAGTTGTCAAGGAGAAAATGTGCACGATGTACCTGCACTTTTACTCTGAAACAGTGAAATCAAAAGTCAGACATGGCATTTCTTTCCTGTCTTTTGTGACAGGCTTCATGTCTTGTCAGCCGAGGAGCCAGTCTTTTAAGATTCTCCTGAAACATTTGCATGGATTAGTGAAAAACAAGTTTTTTTGATTTAAGTCTTCACCAAACTAGACTTCTGTCATTCACTTTGTGGAATAGCTTCTTCAGCAAGGCACTAGGGTATTTCTCTTGCTGAACAAAAATTAAATTCTATTCATCTTCAGCTCCAATAGGGTTTCTGTGAAACCAGAAATGAAATCTTTTGACAGCATGAGCCATGTGAAGTGAGAAATGAATTGTTGACTGACACACAATAAACTATTATCAACAAAGTTGTAAATATTCATCTTTGCACCATTGACCAAAGGTTCGGATCTCAACGTGACAGAAAATCCTCAAGAGAAGAAGGTTGTTTTAAGATGTGCTAGTAACAGACACTCTTCATATTAATGTCCAAAAATCCTATCCAATGAGAGCCAATGTCTGCTGTTACATAGGATGACCAGCTTTTCATATCTTCATAAAAGGGAAATAGTTGCATAGTATGGCAGAGGTTAAATGTAGCTTCTGTGAACAGACAATGGGAGGAGGAGGAGGAGGAGGAGGAGGAGGAGGAGGAGGAGTGGGGGGAGGGAGAAGAACAGTAGAAGCAACTGTCATTTTATAACTGTCCTCCACAACTTATTTCATACCACTGATGTAAAAATCCTGTAAACAGCTAAACAACTCACACATTATCCAGTTCACAACGATAGACTTAACAAATAGTATGTGGTCACAGAGAAGCATTTTTAAACACTGTCCAAATGGAACTTCCATTTTGGCCAACAGACAATTTGAGTTTTAAGATTGTCTCCATAGATTTTTCTTCAACTGAAATGCACAGAATAGGCCGAGACCCAGTTTGACTAACTAACACATCTGAAGGTAGGTTTCTTTTCTATTTTAGTTTTGCTTCCTTTTTCTTTTTTGGTCGAACTGAGGATAAACCATTGTTGTAAATTTATCCACTCATAGGTTATGCACTTTCCAATAAAGCAATCAAAATATTAATCCTTCTTCTCACAGCTAAGTAACCCACCATGGTATTTGCATGGCCTCTAGTCTCAAACTTCCTTTTTCAAGTTGTTTTTGTTTTTTTTGCATACAGTATCTCTACTGGCTATTAAACTATGCCTTGGTAGCTTTTAAATTTTTTTTTAAACTATGTTTTGGTAGTACATGTTCCATTCTGACAAAGACGTTTCTGCAGAAATGAATTAAGTCATCCTGAGTTAAGCTGCTATGGATCGAGGGCATAAAGGAAGACAGGCTGTTTCCAAATACAGTTTATACTTAGCGTATGAGAAGTAACATCTTGGAAATTAAGCTTAGCACCTAGAAGTTTTCAAGTAAAACTGCCAACAAGCTATTTAAGATTTATATGATTTAAAAATAAGGATGACTTAGAAATATTAGTGACATACTGTATAGTGTTTATGCAGAAACAAAGGTCAAGGAATGAGATGAATCCTGGATTACTTCTACTTCAGTAATGGCACTTTAGAAACTACATGAAGAAAAAGCAGCAAAGGAAAGTCAGAGAGATATTCTGATCTTTTGAAATTAAGTTCCAATATAAGGGAACATGACTCTGTCAAGAAATTTCTGACAGAATATTGTAGAAGACAAAAAACATAAACGATAAATAGTGATACATATAAAACCAACGTACACACAGTATTCTATTTTACAAATATGGATGTACCCAGAAAGTTTGGCTTTCGTTACACAGAAACAAAAAACTAGGTAAGATATTAAACCTAGGGGTTTTTTTTTTAAAAGCTACCACGATAAAAATCTGAGAATGAATCAAACAAGTAAAGTGAATCAAAACACTGAAGTATATATATTCAGCTTTTGATCTGAAAAAAGAAAGAAAAAGGGAGAATGCATTGTACTTAATATACATGCAGTCTGTTCAAGCATGGAAATGGATCATTAATGGAAAATCACACAACTAAATTTAAATAATCAATTCTACTACTAGCTTTTGACCCTATTACTGAAGCACATAAATCAGTCCAAAATTCCAGAATGAATATGGCGATAACATTCAAAAAAGAAGGAAAAAATGGGATTTTTAAAAAAAGAGATAGCCATGAATCAAGTGAGTTAAAGAACTCCTGAGCAATACTCAAAATTTTGTGGTCATCCAAGGGAAGTCAAAATTGGTATCAAACACTTTGAACCCAGCCATAAGACTCTTACAATAGAGAGTGCACGGGGAGTAGATGATGTAATGTTTCACATGATATCACTGCAACTTCTCCTGGACACTTGTGAGCCTACTCTAACTAGGTGCAATCTAGATGCAAGTCATAAGAAATATATCTAAAGGCACCAGAGAAGACTACTGTGGAAAGAACCTTACGATGTTATACATTACAAAGAGGCTGGAGAAAATCAGAAAGGGCCACTAGAGATTGCTGCAAGAAACTGAAGCTATCTCACATCAAAACATGTACTGACATTCTTTTTTAAAACAACAACAACATAGAATAGCAAAGAAGATACTATGGAAGACCCACATTTTGCATATATCATTCCCATTTTTGTTAAAAGAAATAAAATTACACACAAATTTGCTTGCATCCTACACATATTGCTTCCTAGCTCCTTCCCTTGACTATTTCCATATTTACTACCATGCACCAGATTACGCTGATGACATAAAATTTGATGTTTTGACTCATTCCTCACTGGAGAAAATTAAATGTTATGTGCATTGTCACACTTTACCCTAATTTAAAATAAAACTTGAGAATGAGAGCCACTCAACTTTCTCCTCATGCATTTGCATTGAAGATTGCCTTTCATGATTATTTTTATCTTTTTTGAGGGCTCCAAAAGGGATGGGCTTGATCTGAGTCAGGAAAATGTCTTTCTCAGGCGTCCCTGTTTTGTGTAATTATTATTATGCAATTCAGGGTTCCAGCATCCCAAAAGAAAATTGGTTTTCCATTAGTTGTTGGTGGAGTGATGGCAAAACCTTTAGTCACCTTAGGAAAGTGTTTAGAAGAAGCAATGAGGCTTTCTTTTAATTGCCTGTTTTACTTCCAAAATAAGCATCACATGCAACGCTTGATTTTTATACCCTTTGGAGAATATTAGGCAAATTACAGTTGGTTTTGCCATTCAGACAAAAATATATCACAACTGGCCTTTGCTTAATAAAACTCAGTCATTAGATTTTCCAGTTATTTTAGAAATGCAGAATGACTCACCAAATGTATTATATTAATTATGCTTTTATAGATGCTTTGGAATTCAATTTTAGTAAAATTGTAAAAGACCTCATGGCATTACTCCTACTAAAGGGAATCTGGTCTAGCTACTGATATGTTCAACACATTCCCTATAACACAGGTGCTATTTTATAGTGCCCTAAACATTTTCATGGACATGCATTGTTACATTTGCACCATTCTGACAGATGCTGAAGGATACAGAGGTGCTGCAAATAGCACCATTTTTGGGAAATATCATCATGCATTCTTTTCAGCAGTTTTAAACATGCTTCTCAAGAACAAGCAGCATCTGAAAAGGATCACTGAGAGCCAAGAAAAGAATTGGAAAAATCCTAGTGGATATTGCAAGTAGATATTTTCTGTAGTTACTAAAAATTGCTGGGAAATTGGATTCCAAAAGCCACCAGATAGTACATAGCAACACCAAGCATACATTGAACGTTTCCTTTTTTTAAGCTGCATATGTATATCTTAGTCTTTATTGTTAAGACACAAAAACAGATGGAAAAACAGCTACCATTTCTGGGTTGTTGAAAAATACACTGAAACAAGCTCAAACCAGGGAAGCCACACATATTGTTTGCAGGTAGAAATGAGTAGGAAAACAAGTAGAGACAATTGGGTGGAAGGCTCAGTTTTTATAAATACCAAACAAAAGGTCAAACACTATTTTCAGTCACCGAAAAAGAAAAAAAGATGAACTGCTGAGGAAAGTTTTTTCAAATTACAGTAGATGCAATGCAAACTCTTTTCTTTCCATTCATCTTCTGATAATGGGACCTCTTAAGGGCCTGCAATGCAAAGCTGGACCAGTCCTTTGCCCCTCCCCCATGCATAGTGTATGGAGAAGGGGGAGATGGCTTCAAGCAAGCTAATTCCTACAGCTGCAGCAACTTTTCACAAGCTTTCAGCATTCTGTCCCTTAACTCAGTTCACATTTCTCATGGAAGTATCAATGCCATGACCATGTGGCTTTTCCAGACCCACTTAGCCAGCTGTATATGCCGCAGATTTTAAATATTTACTGTATAATGAAAGTTGCTCCATATCCAAGCAGTACAATTTTGAAAGCCACACAGCCTGTGTATCTCCCAAGGTTTAGGGCATCAGCTGTAGATAAATTCCAGTCCACTCAAATAGACCATTGGCTCAAGTCTCTAGGTCTATAATCCTTTCTCTCTTTTGGCCAAAAGGAAAAAGAATTGAAATACTGTTTCTTTTCACCACTGAGCTGCTATGGCTGAAATCAGTCAATGAGATCAATGAGCCAGGTGAACAAGCAGGACATTTTCTCCTCGAATGAAAATCTGGTTTATGTGTCTTGTAAACACTTGCTGATAATCCACTTTGGACCGCTGCCTTTTTCGGGAACGGCCTCTTTTGCCACCCAGGCTCTTCTCCTCTACTTGGGAGATTCTGCTGGGCAAATCTGTGTCTCTCCCAGAGACTTTCGGCAAACTAGAGCTTCGTGTCCTCTCTCTGCTGGCGTGCTTCTTTGCTCCATGTTTCTCCTCTGATCTTCCCCTACCTGACTCAGATTTCCTCCTTGATGTTCTTGGATCATATGGAAGGGCTGGCAAGTCCGTAGTC